CCTTGCTTGGTGTGTCCGAGCCTTGTTCTTGGTGTGTCCGAGAATCTTATCCGTTTTCTTCTGTTTTATTCAGTAGCTTTCGACCCTAAATCTTAGAGTGAGTGTCTTAGGACCAAAACCTCAGGTTTGAGTCATTATCCCACGAAAATTCCAAAACAAAATCCTTCTTTCGTTCCTTTAGTTCACCGAGAAACTCCTAAGTGCCCGAGGTGCATATCACTTATGAAGATAAATAATGTAATCCGCAATATATTATATTATTCAATCAACTTTTGGATGAAAAAATGTTTCCAATGCTTAAAAATCGATATATATATATATATATATATATATATGTGTGTGTGTGTATGTGCGCGTGTGTGTGAAAAATAAGTTTTTCTTTAAAAAATATTTGTAAAAATATATAAGTATTACGAAAATGAAAGATTTAATTTGTTGGCCCCCTCAAAGAACTTGGCATAGAAAATAATTGAATTTATTTTCTCAGTTTTCTTTAATCTATATTGAAATTTTAAAAGTTTGAATAGGGCAAATACCTAGCTAGATTATTATTGCTCGTGTTATGAAAAATAGCATATTAATACAAAATTTTATAAAAAAATCACAGATAAATATACAAATTTTAAATATTTCCAAAAATTATTATATCATAGTTGTATTTAGAAGCCGTTTAAAAGGTTAGCCTTTAATTTTATAATTTTTAAAAAAGTTCAGAGTTTAATATAAGAATTAGGAAAAACTCATGTATTTCTCTTTGAATATTTTAAAATTCGTATATCAATATACGATTTCTCTTTTATTTTTTAAATGAAATTATGTTTTAGTTTTCAGTATTTTTAACAATATTTAAGTACAAAAATATTATGAAAAAGCTTTTTGTTTGGCTATTTTGATGTTACATATTTACATAATTTTGAGTTATTTTTTTTTTACAATATCCACACGAAAATAGCTCAAAAAAAACAAAAACCCAAATCTTTTAAAATTTCTTTATAAATGGATCGCAATTTGTTAAAAAAACAAATGTAATTGGTCCACATAATCGGGTATAAACCAAGCAACGACTTATCCAGAAGCAACTGTTCATAGGGATAGACTTTTCGGATTTCAGGTTTTGGGTTAGATTTAGTTATATTCCGATTTTCTTATTTTATTTATAGAAAAAAAATTATAACCATTCATTTTTTATATAAATTTCGGTTCGATTCAATTTGGTTATTTTTCAAATTGAATTCGATTTTTTGTTATACAAAACTTATTTTTTGAAAAATTATCTATTTTTTTATTATTTTTTAAAATCGGTTTGATTCGATAGTTTCAGTTTTTTGGTTTAGAAAAATCATAACTATTCGGTTAGATTCGGTTCGACTATAAATATGTTTTATACGTTCGGTTATTTTTTTAATAACCGAAAGTACCACCCTCTTCGGTCTATGGCCTCTCTCTCAGCCTCTGAATCTTGTTTCTCCTCGCTTTCGCTAACACTTTGTACCTATCGACTCCTCCTTCCTTCATCGTTTTATCCATTTTCCAGTGTCATGTTAGCTTTTCTCATCTGCCAATTGCACCGGGGTTTCGCTTTCATTCGATCCGACCGGTCTGGATTTCCGGGAAGAGCTTGCTGTTATGCATCAATGTTTGTCTAATTTGCGTGTTGAAGGCGTCTAGCGCTTTTGCTCATCGAGGGTTTATCTTCAATCATCGTTTTGCGAAATAGACCCGTATGTGACTGGTGGCTTGCCTTTTGAGATTTTTTTTTTGTTTTCGAATTTCGCCTGATGGACGTCTTGTTTTGTGTGAATTTCGCTATTTTGGAATCTGGGTTTTCACGATTTTAGGTTGAAATGGCTGGTTGAAGAACTTTGTGGTTCTTTTGGAAGGTGTTGCTCTGTTTGATGTAGAGAATCAGTCAGATTAGATGATTTGGGTTTGAGAATTCTTGTGACAAAAGGGTTGTGATAAAGAGAGGAAAGACGATGATAAAATAATGGAGCCGTTGTTTCCTCGGCTTCATATGAATGATGCAGTTAGAGGAGGGCCTAGGGCTCCTCCCAGAAACAAGATGGCTCTTTATGAGGAGCTTAGTGCCCCTTCTCCGAGGTTTAATCATCAGGTATTGTCTCGTTGCAGATTCTTATGTCCGCCTCGTGGGTTCTTCAAAGTTGTTCTTCTTTTCTAGTGATCAATAGAGTGCCAAGTTCTTCCATTTGATTCCGAGAAATCGAAAGAAGGAGTACAGATTCTTTTTTTTTTCGATTTAGTAATGTTCTTGTTGTTATTGTTGATTTGTGGATCACCATTAGCTCATAGTGACTTCTCTGCACATAAAATTACGCCTCCTTTGGATATTATGTGTCTAGTTATCATATATAGCTCAAGAACAATGGATGAGTTTTTCTAGCAATTCAAGCGGATGTTATTGTTGTGCCCGAGATGTCGAAATCAAGTTATGATTTTTTATGCCTGGTGTTTCTTCATGTGTTATGGCCGAAGCCCTTTGATATTTTTTTCCTGTATACCTTTTTCCGTTTTGTATATTGGGAAAGGCCAAATCTGGATGGATGCCTATGCATTTGTAGCTACCCTTGATGGGCACAAGATCTGTTGATCTTCTGAAGTTTCACGATACTACTCGTGATTGGCTTGAACAAGGCTGTCGGGGTTTGATTACTCGCGAACAAGAATTAACTTTTTCTTTTCTTTGTTTCCTTTCCTTGCAGGCTTGCAGCATGGAAAGGAACCTATATTTCCATTCCAGCATCAGGTATCTACTTCAGGTCCTCCTCGTCCAGCGGAGAACTTTGTCATTCAAAAGTCCTGTATGGATAATGTACGATATCTGCCACGACATGGTCAGAGGAAACTGGTTGGAGAGGAAGATGATATCATGGTTCCGGTGTTTCTCAACTCGGGAAGGGTGCAGTCTCATGACAGAAACAAGAGTGGAATGAACAAGGAGAAGCCTTCTCGTATAGTGGCAACTAGCAGTAATCGTTCAGTTGAGATCCAAGGAGTGAATGGCAAGGCCTCTAAGTAGAATGGTTCTTCATCTGCTAGTTCTAGACAAGAGGTTAGAGATCTGAGTAAGGAGAGTCCAAGACGAGGTACCATGATTAGCATTTTAGATATGAGCAAATCCATAAATGGGTTGGATCAAGATGGCTGTGAAAATGTTGTGAGAGGTACCGATAATGGAGATGATTCCCGGTTCAAGAGGCGTCCCTAGGCGCGCCCCCAGCGCGACTCCGCTTGAGGCATGTGGCGGCCGCCTCTTGGACAGAGCACAAAAAAGAAATAAAAATGGCAGAGTTGTGCAGTTCTTTCGAAAGAGATTGTAGAAGATGAACAGTACAGACTTCAATACACAATTAACTCCTCCTAAATGTCTAGTCAGAGTTATTAAAAATTAAAAAAAAAAAGGTCAAATTATGAGAACAAATAAAAAAGGGTGATGGAATCGAGAAACTCAAAAAACCTAAAAGCAAGTATGACTAAGTAGAAAGCTTAAAAAATATACATATATATTAACTATAATTATTTAAATATATAGTTTTTATAAAATCATTTATAAATATATATCAGTTATAACATTTTCGATGTATTTCAACTTTAGTTTATTATGATTAATTTTTTATTTTTTATTTTTAAATAATAATATAGTTTATATTGATATAGATTAATGCAGTATATATATTATATTGAAAAAATAAAGAATTATTTATGTATATGTAAGTATAAATGTATACTATGCATATTAAACAATATGATTTATAACATATATGTTATATATTGATACGAAAATGATTTATGCGCCTCGTGTCTCGGTTTTTTTACCTTTGGCACATCGGGACGCCTCGCGTTTTTTTAAACAAAGGAGAGATGGGAATCATCATTCAAGAGAAGAAGGTCATATCAGTTCAGATGAAGTTATTAACGATCATGAACGCAAATATCTCTCTCGATGATGTGGTGGGATTGATAGGTCAAAAGCATTTATTGGAGGTATCCGTCTTTGTTTTCGTATTCACGGGTTTTAGAGAATTGTTATCTCTATCTTTGTCTCGCAACAATGCAAAGGGTATCTTCGGGAACACTCCCTCTCGGTTCCTGACCACTCCTTCCGCTGACAACAACCTCGGAAACAAGCAGTTACTGACCGCAACAACCACCACGATCACAGCTGTAACAATGACGATGCCATCGAGAACAAAGGCAGTGGCGAGTGAATCGGTCGCGAGGATTTTCCAATCAATCAATCAATACAAGCAGAGCGCAAACATTATGAGTCTTCTGTTTGAGTTTAACATCGTTTTTTTTTTGCATCGAGATGGTTGATGTTGTTATCCGAATAACTCTGATGGATTGCATATGGTTTGTGGTGGAGATGATGATGATGATGATGATGATGATGATGATGATGATGATGATGATGATGATGATGATGATGATGATGATGATGATGATGATGATGATGATGATGATGATGATGATGATGATGATGATGATGATGATGATGATGATGATGATGATGATGATGATGATGATAATAATAATGTAAACATTGTTTTCATTGTTTTGCTGCTTTTTCTATACACACTACACCTCCGTAAATACGATTTTACAAATAAGGGAATACTAATTTCATTTAAGAATAAATGTGCATAGAATCTTGTTAAACTCTCGAGAGATTTCGCAGTTGGCAAACCTAGAGCTGCGTATTATAAAAAATAACATGATAGAAAATTATACAAGCATCACTTGCAAATACAAACGAATTATTTAAAAGAAGCAAAAATCACTCTTTATATCGTGAGAGACAATGTATGATTTTTTTTTTAAGTAAAATCGTATATACGCTATATGTGTATATATATTTGTTGTCCGTGTTCTTTCTTAGTGTTGCTGATGATCAAAGCCTCTTGTTCAAAGAGAGACACACAACGGATATGTCATCAACTTTGGCCGCCGGAAACTTCAGTCTCCATGCTTCGGCCGCCGCCTCGGCCCCCGCATTGGCTGCCGCTCCGTCGTCTCTCTCTTTTCCCATCACTACCTTTGCCACTTCCTCGTTGCTAAGCACATCCCACACCTAAAAATACACATACAAATTTAATTGTTACACGAATACGTATAAATATTTGTTAGTTTATATAAATACATATCCCTCCGTTTCTAAATAGATGACGTTTGAAAGAATAATTTTTGTTAATGAATAAATATCGTTTTTTATTTTTTATGTGATTTTTTTAAAATAAAATTTAAATTTATCATTGATAACGTAATTTGATAAGGATTTATATATACGACTTTTTTTTAATAGTTCATTTAAAAGCGTGAAAAAATCTAAAACGACAATTATTTAAAAACGGAGAAAGTACTATTCAGTAGTTTTTTTTTTGTAAGTACCCCATCGGATGCAAGGACCAAGAATCGGTCGTGATGAGTAATACGATGAGTAGAAACGTCGGGAAATTCGATAACACCGTAGTTTTTTAGGACGAAATCGCCCAAGGCTCGAGACATGGCGAGCCCCGGATAATCTTGGAAAGGTAGCCAAACCCTTTGAATGTGAGGCTCTGCTTCAAGAGCTAGAACCCTACCGTTGCGTTTCCTTATTCTCTCTGCTTCACCTATAGGCCACAGATTCCATGATCATATACATTAAAAACGGATTAAACCGGAATAAACCGGATGCACCTATGATAACCGGGGCTTACTTGGGACACTTGGCTTGAGATCATTGGTCAATTGGAGAGCCTTTGCTTCTCCTTTCTCGTTCGCTCTTATAAGCACGGCCCTTGAGTCTCCCAAGTTGGCTACCATCAGTTCTTCTCCCTGTTCCAAATTTTAATAGTCCATTTTCATTGGTATTGCACTAATTAATTATACGTACTATACAGATAGACGTATATATACATATATATAATAGGATGGGATAATAGTTGTTTTGTTGTAAAATTTTTCGAATATTGAAAAAAAAAATGTTCGGCTACAAGTTTCGGTTAATTTAATAAGAAACGGAAGTTTAATAGGAGAAAAAATTTGGCAAACTTCGTTAGTCTCTTGACTATTATTATAGAACAATATGTTAAAATTTTAAAATCTAAAATTAATAAGATTAATTTTTTTATAATAAAAAATATATGTTTCAATAGTCCCGCCAAATTCGATTTCTTGATGTATATATATGTATGTATATATATATATATATATGTATATGTATGTATTAACGATTGAATTACCCGGGTGACAGCAAGAACAGCGGTGGTTCCACTGCAGGAACAGTCGAGGGTCTTCTTGAGATTAAGGATCTTCTTGTCGACGGCGGAAAACGTATCGTGGCAGATGCGTTTCCACTGTCTGGTCGGCCAAGTGTTCATATTTCCCAGCAGGACGGCGGGCAGTTGGTTCCTCGCGATCTTGCTCACGCAGTGTCCGTTGTCTCCGTGCCCGTCGAACACCCCGCACAATGCCCCTCCTCCTCCTCCCCCGTACCCCTTCATTGGTTTCCAAAGATGCGAAATGACTTTGGTATTAAGACTGAAGGATTTATGGGAAAAGTTCTCCATGTGTATAATACAAACTATAGATTCAAACCCTCAATATATATGTATTTACAATACTAACTCAAAAAGGAAATCCTCTAACCTTTAGATTATGAATGGTAGAGGTTTCTAGAGTTTTTGAAATTTAAAACACAAAAAAAATAATAACCAATCAAATTTCTATAAATTTAGTTGTCTTAAAAACCCAAAAAACTAATTTAATGAAAAAATCAAGTAAAAACCAAAAATTCCATGTTATGGATTTATAAATATTACAAAAGCCAAAATCTGAAAACTAAAATCCAAACTCAAAATAAAAACCAATTCCATTCCATGGCTAGGGTTATTATGAGAAAATCTACAACTCTTTTTTGGAGGAAAACAATACGATTTAGTTTCTTACAGTATTGTAAGAATAATATTCATCAACAAAGATTGAAAATAACCAAACATAAATCCATACTTGTAACAAAAAGGATTTGTGATTATACCAAGTGGAGGATTGCGGAATCTTGGTTGAAGCCTTTGGTTCCAGGCAAAGAACAGACGGAGCCAAAGCCTTCGAGACTCGTCCCCAGAACGACGTCGTCTTCGGAATACAAGACGGCGTTTTCTTGTCCGTAGTCGTTTATCTCGTGAATCTTGTTGCGTTCCGAAGATCCTCCTGAGAGGCACAAACACCTTACCATCTTTTTTTGGCGGCGGAAAAAAGAGTAGACGGTGACGTGTAATGTGGGAGAGTTCGATACACGGCTTTGCTTATGCTCTCTCCCTTCTGATCCACGTCTTTATAGGCCCCTTCGGATTACGAAATTAATAACAATATTTTTTTTGATACCCGACTACCATATACGAAGATCTAGACTAATTCAAAAACCGGGAACTAACTATATGATTTGAATTACACACTTTCTCTACAAATTTAAGGTTCGAATAGGTGACGGGATAGACATTTTGCGTCTCTTTTCATCGGTTGAATTACCAAATTTAGATAAATTAATAAAAATATTAATGAATGATATGTTATGTAATAGACAAAAATGTTATGTGGAATCCAAGATTTTGGGTAGCTCAATTGTTAAGAAAGTCAGCAAAATTCTTTTGCAATCTGGATTCAAGTTTTTATTTGGGAATTAGTATTCACATGAATTTTTCCGATTTTTTGGAAGATATAGTCGAACTAAAGATCTAATGAACTTCCAAATTATAAAAAAAAAAATTATTACGTGGATGCCTTGTTTGAATAGGTGGCAATTATGAATGAACAATTATTATATGAATTTTCATCTATATTTAAGAAAAATGTATGAAGCATTTATTAGAGAATATTCTATCTTAGCCGCCTCAACACCTATCATCACATGCTTTTCATCATATTTGTTGACGTTGTTATTTGATTCTAAATATAACAAATTTCATATTGATGTAATAACGTGTATATGTATATATATATATATATCCACTTAAAAATGACATATAGAAATAAGTAGATTTAAAGTGTAAAAGAGGAACGTTTTTTAACATGAGAAAAATAAATAAAAATCTTTTACGAACCGAAATAAATTGAAAGCACTAATATTATCCGGATTTATTATCTTGTATAAAAGCCACACAACAAAAACTAATAAGTGTCCTTTTTAATTTCAAATAACATGTATTAAAATAAAATAAAAAAATAGTTCAAGGAATCAACTGGTAGTCTAGTTATGATACTTAGAATTAATTAAATATTACACCGTTTGGCAATTATGTAATCATGTGGCTCCTAATGGCAGGATCATGATATTGCAATTAATTTATTCAATTTTTAATTGAAGAAATTCGTTGAAAAGTTTATCTTACTACCCCAAGATTCAATTGAAAGGGCATACGATTAGGTGTAATGACATATGATCAGTATCTTAAACCAATAATAAATATACGCAATGATATTAATTACGACTAATTGATTTAAGCTTTAAGATAATAAAATTTGCCGACGGGATTCTCTGTCATCGTCCAACTAGCCCGTAACATATTTTATGTTTAGTTAAAGGAAAGTCACGCGCCCAATTATTTCGAGATTCGACAATTGGCTTCTTTGAATATATATATATATATATATAATTGTTAGAAATGACATTCTCAAATAAAAGTATGTAATTTAGAAAACATTTCTAATATATTTTTCGTAGGTTGGAGTTTTTTTTAACCTTTTATTAGGATTTATAATTTGATTTAAAATTTAACTAAAAATTATTTTTTTCACCAAACAAATCTTTGATCTTTAGAAACCCAATTCTTCAGAATACAGAAATTTAAATATAACCTAAAAAAACTGGGTTTATAATGGTCGGTACTTGAATTAGTTTAGTCTTTCTGAACATGCCAAACAACATTGTCAACTCGAGCAAGTTTTCAGTTATATATATATATTATAATCTTAACAATTGTCTCAAAAGCATCTAATTTTGGATTTATCTTACAATATCTTTATCACATATTTGTGCGATATTTTTTTATGTTATAAAAGCTACGTCTAACATAATTTACTAACCGATATATAAGAAATCCTGAAAATTTCATATTAGATTCAATTTTATTTTTTTATTACTTTTATATGCTTAAATCAAATACAAAACAGTGTGTTTTTAAATAATCCAATGTCATTGATGCACAATCTATATTGCTTCTGTAAAAAAAAAATACTCGGACGTGAAAAATTATTGTGAATTGCTAAACTTTTTATCCAAATTTTTTGACGTATACGTATTTTAATAAAATACTTTCATAAGAACAATAGATGTAGTTATAATCATCATCATCATACTTGTTGTTGTTGTTATTGTCTTTGCCTTCACCGGTTTGTAATTGCCTTTAATCTATTTGATCCATTATACATTCTATTTTTTTGTTGCTTAAAAATAAAATATGGTTATTAATTATTTGGATGGAATACGTGAAACATTATTTAAAGATTAATTAGGAAAAGATATGGCTCCTAATGTGATAATGATATGTGGTTTGACCAAACAATTTCGGTATTATTTATTTGATTTGTAATTGAAAAAAAATTGAAAATAACCCTAGATTCTATTAGAAAGACACATGAGGTGGCGTCTCGGAGGATCGAATCTTAAATAAATAGATTCCAAATTTAATTATAAGTCAAACCTCATTAACTTTAGTTTTATTTCTAAATACACGTATACGCTACCGTACGAAAAGTCGCTTATGCCGTCATTATAAGGAATCCAAATGCATTGCAATAGATTTATCTTAATAAAAATTCCATAAATTCAATATTTTGTGAATTAGAGTAAACAGAAAAAAAAATTAATATGCAAACAATAATTACATTAAAAATAACAAAGTTTTTTCACAAAAACTCATTAACAGTAAAAAAACCATAACAGAGATCTTTGAATGATTATAGCTTTTACTTCGAGTTTTTCGATTTAATTTTTCGTTTTAGTTGATTTTTTTTCATAAAAATGTTAATTTTATATAAAAAAAATTCATTTTTTTAAGTTTGTAATTTTAAAAACTCCAAAAAACTTTTGCAACATATTTATTCAGATGTAGAGATCATATTAAAAAAAGGAGGTAGATAGGATTTTTATTAATAAGATGATATTAGTTCAACTTAACTATTTTGACAATATAACCATTTTGTAACATGGGTATCCGTGCAGCATAGGCTGGCTTTGTATTCAACTTTAACATATATATAATATTAACCTTTCATACAAAAAAAAGATGATATTAGTTAACCAAAACCAATATTAGGTGACTCAACCCAACCGCCAAGGGAGCAAAGTTTTTTTCCAATCCGTATTCAAATCTTCACTTGGTGAAAGACATTCACATGAATTTCTCCGATTCTCTAGGAGATATAGTCGGGTCAAAGACCCGATGAATTTTCGGATTATAAAAAAATGATAGTAATTACCCAATTTGAATAGTTCAACTAGTGAAATGGAGATGTAAAACGTCTGTCATATCCTGAGTTCAAGGTTTAAATTGGGAAGAGGAGTGTAATTCCAATCACATGGTTTGCTCCTAATACCGGAATTAGTTTGGATTTCGGCTCAAGATAATCAGTTACCAAAAAAACAAGATAATATTTATCTAAGATCAAATGGTTCAACTGATAAGAGTTGAGACAAAGTTTCTTCCCAATTAAAGTTTGACTCTCCATTTTAAAAAAAAAATATTTACCTGAATTTTTTCAATATTCTAAAAGATGGAATTAAGTCGAAAGCTCAATAAACGTCTGGATTGTAAAAAAAAAATATAGCGGTTCAAAGCAAAAACCCGTACTACCGAATTTGGCATCGTGTCTTTGGTTTAAAAGCTTGTAAATCACTACTTTGGTTAGAAAAATATGTTTTTTTTAATGTTTATTTTTGTATATATTTGTTTTAGAAAAAATATGTTGACGTAGTAGATAATGACATCTTTTTTGACCAATTATTTTAATACTTTTTTTTTATAAAATTTGAGATTACCCCAAGATTCAATTAGAGAGGCACATACATGATGTGTCGTCTTATAGGATCTTAATAATAAATAGAAAATTTAACAGTTAGTAAACGTCACCAATTCTATTTTTTTTTAATTATAATTGATACCTATAGAGTATAGGCTATTGTACGAAAGTTGTACGTGACATCCTCACCCTAAACCCAAATGCATTGCAACAACAACAAGCATTTTATTTTATTTTACAATAAATCTTAAATCCAAAAATTATAAAAACTATAAATTCTGCAATAATTTCTGCTAACACCTTACTCTAAAATCAACATAAATATCTAATATATGATTTAATCAGTACTATTTTTTTTTTTGTGAAATTCGAGTTCTGATTCACAATTTTCATATGAATTTGGTTGAATTAGCATATACTAAAAATTACAAATCTGGAGAATATTTTGATAAGTCATCTTTTTTTTTTCAACCATCAAGATTATTCAATTAGTATTATATTTCAGATAACCATAAATAATTTATAGTAGCTTTCCGTGACCGCCCTTTGGTTGGCAAGATAAGTCGGGATATATTTTATTTGATAGCTTATCATTTTGATGAATCACTTAATTCAAATTAAATTATATGAAAATAATTTTATGACGATAAGCATATAAATAAATAAATAAACAAATAATGCGATTAGTTGCCAAGCACAAGTGTTATCTTTTGGTGATCTTCTTTGTATAGAACCCAAGGGTTCTAACCATGAATCCTGCGCTTTACAAAAAACGGTGATCCTTAAACGTGATTTGAGCTAGGGGTGACACGGATTTTGGTTCGGGTTCCGTTCAACTTGATTATATTAGGATTTGATTATTTTGATTTTAGAAAAATTATAACCAATCAGTTTCTACATTAAATTCGGTTTAGTTTAATTATATTCGACTTTGATTCGATTTGGTTATGATATAAAATAATTATTTTTAAAAAAAAAATACAATTTTTCGATCATCTTTTTATCCGATTCAGTTCAAGTTCAAAATCGATTTTTTCGGTTTTAGAGAAATTATAATCATTCAGTTTTATATCTAATCCGGTTTGATTACGGTTATACATTATTCAGTTTGGATTGATTCGGTTATTAACCAATTAAATCGCCCCTAATTCCAGCTATGTTTTTCCTCAAATCTTGTGATAAAATTTCTCCGATTCTTTATTCGGATGCCGAAACCCTAATCGGGCCCCTTAGACCCATTTATTTCCTAAGTTTTCTAACCCAATAGAAACAAATAGATCTAGGCCCACTTATTTCTTAATTCCCGACCTAATAATAATAATAAAACACCCAAAAACCAATAACGATAAACATAAAACATAACACAACCCCGAACCTTGGCCAAACCTCTCGGCCCTGGCAGAACCTGGACACTCCTCGGCCGTCTCCTCTCTCGGACACTTCTCCTCTCCCGGACCCTTGTCGGCTTACCGTTCTTCTCACTTGTACGTGAATCTTTCATGTAACGGTGGGCTATCAGAGGCTTGGGAGTGTCGAGATCATCTTGAGCACACCGTTGTTGAGGATGCGATAACAGGACAGACATGGACTCGAAAACAGATCGTGCCAGCCCTTGCCCGCTATCGAAGATGTACCCTTTGTACTCTGAAACACGCCTCACGGTATCCACAAGAGAACCGTACACTTCTTCACAGGGCTTATCGTGCAGGTGCATAACATCTAACGTGAAGAGCTTTTGATTCACAGGCCAATCATGGGTCGGTTTCACGGATGGTCTGCAGTACACGACAACCTGTCCGGAAAATAAAAGGGTATTTTCCTTTTTTTTTGTTTTTGTTTCAGGAAACGGTTTAGGGAATACCGTTTGCAGAATTGAAACTTACCAGCCTCAAGATTCGGTCCTGTGCTCGAGATTTTCTGGCTTCGTGAGCTGCTAACTGGAAGAGAAGTGTGAGATCTGCTTGACCACAGGATGAGGTAACAGCTGACAATCCTCGTAAGGCAGAAGCAGCAGATTCAACATCACTGGTGAAGTCTTTTTTAAGCTGAAAAGTTAAAATGCTTATGGGATCGGTTAGACGCAATGCCAAGTTATAAAGACACATCAAGTAAGCCTCTCCCGCTGGTTAGAAGCTACAAACGGAACAAGAATATTTTTGCTACAAATAGTTGAAGAGAACGTTCAAGAAACATATTTCACCATAAGACAGGCCAGAAGGCCTTTAGGTTGTTAACCCACTTCACATCAACTAAACTAGCACCGAGGTTAACGGGGAAGAAACCTTAAACATGAAATGGGATGTCCCTGGTTCGTGCCTAAGGATCTTCTAGTCACCACATCATTCTTAGAAGAGAAAAATACAGAAACAATTCAGACCACACTTGACCCTTTTTCACTATGAGAGAAGAAACAGTAAGCTCACATGCTCCGGCAAATATATACACAAAAGACAAGCTATTAGAGATTCTTTTTTCTTTGCTAAAACCGCTAAAAACCATGGAAACCTAGCAGAAGCCGCAAATGAGATGACAAAATAACGCGTCATTGGATTACCCGAATTCCCAAAATCCGAAAAAGTATCGAAATTGAGGATCAACCCTCTTCCTGAATCCTAATCCGTAACAAGAAAACCGAATTCCTTCCCTTGAAATCAAAAGCGGAGGAAAATACCCAGAATCAGAAGCAACTCAGAGACCAACAGGGTCAAGAAAACAAACCCAAGTGGCGGATTCAGAAAGCGTAGCAAAAGCAAATCGGTGATCTGGGTTGATCGAGAGCTTGCAATTGACGAACAGAAGAATCGCTTGCTTGATGCAATCCAACCTCATCAATGGCTTCCCGTTTGATCCCGTCGTCTTCATCTCCATCGTCGATGCCGCATCCACATCTACGCAGATAAGAATGTCTTCGTTGCTAACTCGCGTTGGTTTCAGCGCGTACCTACACGCTCGGGAAGCCGCCGATCCGTCTTCCTTCATCCTCAGACTGCGTCTCCGTCTCCGGGCTCTTCACTTCGATCTGGGAATCAGAGAGATCTTCTACTCCTTTACTCCTGAGAGTTCGAAACGGTGCGTTTTATATGTTGGCCAGAAGGGACAAAAGTCAAAATACTAAGCGAGACTCGAACGGGGGATATTTGCCCCGCTATGGCCAGACCGGTCTACGGTTCACCGGTTAAGGAAATTAGAACGAAAATGAAACCATAGATGATTCGGTTAGAAAAAATCTGTATACGAAAGCAAAATCTAGTTCGGATTGTGTGACACATTAGCTCGGTTCGGTACAGTTTCAAGGATTACGATTTACCGGTTTTACCGGTTTACAGTACTAGAACCAAATTGAAACCATAGATAAAATGGTCTATTCCGGTTAGGAAAACTTAAAACAAAAACGAAACCAAATGAATATGGTCTCACCCTCACGTGCGATATATCAGATCGGTTAGGTTCGATTTTGAGACGAGGGACAAATGGCAGTTTTCGTAAATATTATACGATATTTTGGTTAAAATTGGATATGGATTGGTTGTTTGAGACGGAATTCGGATGGACGGTCGAATAATCCATCTCATCATGCCCCATCTTATGCCGTCATGATTTGGATATCTGATTTCAAATCAGCAAAACTCTGTTTTTGAACGGAACATTAGTTTTAATGTGACTCGTTCTCCAATGTTTCAGACTAAAATACCATTTGAGTTTTGGAATGACTCTGTCAAGACCGTGTTACTTGCAAACCCATCACCACTATGAAAAGCACAGCATAGGAGGTACGAGTGGACGTTTTAGAATTCGGTTCAAAATTTTAGAGGTTCAGTTCCGGAACGGTTTATTCGATATTTTAAAATTTGTACCAAATTAGTATCATATATTATTCGATTCGTTCGATTCCGGTTTTGGTATGGTTCAGTTTCGGGTTTTGTTAAAAAAATTTAGATTTTCTTAAAAAAATTTCGAGTTTTCGAAAATTTTATAAAATTCGGTTCACTTCGATTGTAGAAAATTCGATTCTATAAAAAATATATCATTCATAATTTTTGGACAGTACCGTTCAGAAAAAATTCCGAGATTTTTGGTTCAATATCCTAATAGGAAGTCCATTTGTCTTCGCAGGGTAGAGATAAAAATTCACCATCCGAATTCAGCGTCGCTTGATCTTTATCTCCGTCGTCAAGTAGGAAAAGAAAGAGCTCGTGGAGAGACGAAGAGGAAGAGAAGATGGACGAAGCTCAAGCCACCGGACAACAACCGAAACAGAAGACGCCCAATCAATTTTACCAAATCTGTTGAACCGGTTAATGTCATCTAAACCGATAATTTATATAATCTCGGTTAAGTGACCTAACATGCTCATGTAACAAATTTTGATGCTGAGTCTAGAAATATCATATATTTTGAATTTTCCTTAATAACAATAATAAGACAAAAGCATTATCTAATAAAAAACATGATGGGGAACAACTGAAACGGGAGAATACCAAAAAAAAAAGGGGCCGGCCAAACACAAAAACATAACTAAGTTTGCATCTCTCTACCCATGAAAATAAAGTACAAAAACTATACCTTACCTCAATCCTTAAGGGACCGCATAGCATTTCGCTGAACTTATTAAAACCTCCGAGGGATCAGCTCTTGGGCGACGCTTTGGCTCCTCCACTTTGTTGACCCCCCTGCGAACCCGGCGTCCCACCACCGCCACCGGCAGGAGCAGACCCGTCGGACGAGTCCCCTCCTGCCGGTTGCTGCATGTATCCTCCGTACGAACCATATGGAGGCGGAGCTTGGGGGTAGCCTTGCTGACCATAAGTTGGTGGCGGTCCATACCCTGGTTGCGGACCCGGTGCAGCGGCATAACCTGACGATGGCGCACCGGACGCCGGTGGTTGGGAATACCCAGACTGGCCACTGTAGCTTCCCGGAGCACCCGGAGATTGTTGGCTCTGACCATATGCAGGAGGCGGCTTCTGGATCGGCGGGGCACCACCATAGCCCGGACCATAACCAGAATGAGCAGACGGTTGGGTTCCGTAACCAGCCTGGCCAGTAGAAGCACTACCCTCAGGAGGGTAGGCAGCTGCATTAGGGCTTGGCTGCTGACCGGAGCTGTATCCTGATTGGCCTGCAGGTGGAGGAGCTTGAGATGAATCTCCCTGTCCACCTCCGTATGATGGAGTTTGACCCTCTTGGCTCGGGTTACCATAACCAGATGCAGAGTAGCCTTGTTGCTGATCATACCCGGCTTGACTGTATTGTTGATTATATGCACCATAAGCATCTTGATGGTAACCCTGACCAGGTTGGCCGTAGCCAGATTGATGCTGGTAGTAATCATAACCCGAGCTATCAGTTGGAGGGGCTGAGCCACCGCTGCTCTGCTGCTGCGAAGGCGGATTTTGTTGTTGCCCGTAATAATCATACCCGCCTTGTGGGGTCTGCTGAGATGGTGGGTAACCACTGGATGTTTGTTGCGGAGGGTAACTTCCGTAAGGCGATTGGTACTGAGGTGAAGGACCAGAATACCCTCCCGGTTGCATGTAACCATAACCAGGCTGTCGCATTGGCGGGCCACCAGGAGGTGCCCAGCTTGACGGGGGTCGTGCTTGATAACTTTGCGGAGGATATCCTCCACCCATTGATGGGTTTCGAAGGCGGTTCTGCAGAAAGTGACGAAACAAGAAATAAGCATTGGTGTAACGTTCAGGAGAATAGAAGAAACATGGCAGGGTACAAAGCAAGAACACGTGTATACAAAGACATAAGCAGATAAACAAGCGAAAATTTAATGGGAAGCATAGCATAGAAGGAGCACCATTACCAGATATGTTCACAAGGATCAACCGAGTTCATATCATATTCTAGAAGGGTAATGAATGCCTACATACCGTACTGATCGGTGAAATTATTGGGTTACTCCTGCAGAAGCCCATCCCTTTCCCTATCCGAGGTAATAGGTGCACAAAGAACCAACAAACGCTATATAGAAGTTCTCCAAAACAAAAGCAACAAATACATACACATATATATGGCACCTAAGTTCCGGAGAGAGATAGTTCACGACAGCAAGTACTTCTATAACCAACTAAATGGTATCATTTGTAACATGTGACGCCCATGGAAACATACACCAACAAACACAAGCTGTGATGCGTTCCCCTTGGTAGGATTAAGCTAAAAGTCAATTGTTTCGAAGAAAAATTGAGCAAATATAAAATCGATATGTCAGTACAAGATTGCTGCCAAAATAAATGGATTATAAGACTCCCATATCAGTCTTGCACCTCAGGCTATACCACTGAGAGTTTCAAAAACCGATATACACTAGTCACAGCTTAGTAAAGTCGCCCAGTTCTATCATCAGAACCCAGATACTAATGAACTTGCAATAAGAGACCTAAAATGCTTAGACAACGAAACAAAACCCTTGACAAAAAAGAAGAGGGGGGAAGCATCTTCTCTCATATAATACCAAAACAGACCACCATAAAGATTGAAAGCAGGACTAAAGCTAACGATAAAAAGGTGGACTTCTATTTGTTGCAATATTCAACAAATTGCCAACAAGAAAACATTCATAAATCCTTGTGACCATCCAGAATAGATCTTAAACTAAACCAACACACAGAAGGATCATCGAGAATAGATCTAAACTAAACCAACACACTGAAGGACCGATTTATCCACAGCACTGCTGAAGAAACAAATGGAGTCAACAACATAAACATCTAGCAGTGAAGTTTGCAAAATTACTGCAAGTAAATTCATATCTACTGTCTTCCAGCCAATTAAACGAAACTGAAAACAAAAGGGGTGCGTGGATGTGAGATTTTGTATATACCAAAAGTTGAGATACTCCCACTGTAACAGTGAACTGATGGAGATGAAAATGTTATTTATGTAGTATTAAATTTTCAATTGTGATTCCCTCCGAGAATATATCTCAATAAAAATATGTTGATCATAAAGGATGTATCTCTCGGATAAATAAAGGATTGGAACATCTTAAAATTGATCATAAAGGAGATGAAAATGTAAATCGAAGAGGAAACAAGATTAATAGAAATATGTTGCCTTGTAGCAACACTAGAAGAGTTATGAACCTCAGGGCAGAGCGGAAATTACCACCGCATAACTACGGGAAAGAGCAATATGCAAACCAATTAAAACTTCAAATAAAGCGTCAGAGACAGATATAAAAACATAAAAAAAAATTGTGTATCTGTTAAATGGAAGATAGTAAAATCTAAAACCCTCTTCTGGAGCTTTTATGAAAGTATGAAAACAACATTGACCTGCAATCAAGAGGAAGGCAAGAACTACATACTCCATTGCAAATGCATTTTACTCTTCGCATTGGTAACGGCATAATGGTTGTGAAACCAAAGGAGAGACATAGGTTTTCACCATGGTTAGTACTTAGCATGCAGACAAGTTTATTTTTCATGATATAATTAGAAAAGTGACTAAAGGAGACCTAATGCTAACGTCATGAAAAAAGCAAGAAAAACACAAGACCAGATCCGCACAGATAAAAGGTAGGTACCGGAAGGGGCAGGTAACCTGTACCAAACACGACAATCAAACATACCTCACCACTGATGACTTCATTAACCAATTGTTTGGCATGCTCAATCTGTTCGCTGGTTCCATCAATCTGAATAGTCCGTTCTGTTGATGTATCTCCAGGGGGTAGATGCAAAGGTATAACCTGCAGATAAATAAGGGTTGGCAGATGTTTTACAAGCTGGATGCAAACAGATACATGGGCTAAGAGTTCTGCCATCACCTAACAGCCAATTAAATGCAAGGAATAAAAGACAAACCTGAATTCGAGCTCCAGTCTTAGCTTGCATAGATTTAATTGATTCACCTCCTTTACCAATCACAAGACCAACCTGGAAGTAGTGTGTGCATTACATATCAGACATGGGCAACAAGAATCTGTCAAATTCCAGAAGACCAAGTACCTTGTTATTAGGAACTTTCATCACAAATTGCTCAGATCCTGCATGTCCAGTCATCCTACGTGACATTCCACCTGCCTCGGCCTGCACCAAAATTCAGATATTTCACATTAGTAGACCAGAAACAGTAAATAACCCTTGAGAAGCCCAATTCCAACTTCAGAACCTCCATGATGGAAGAATGGAGACAACAAACAATGCTTGTCACCATCATTTGCTACAGGTCATATCACATGAAATAAAATATTTTACAGAACGAGAAAAATAATAACAAAAGAGGGACTACTTCTTGTAGGACGTCATTTATCAACTGTTCTGCCTTTGAAATCTGGTCTGGCGTGCCTGACAGCTCTACGGTCCTGGTTGGGGCATTTGGGTCAGCATCCATGTCTCGGGTAATCTGAATCTTGGCTCCTGACTGGAATTGAAGATATTTAATCGTTTCCCCACCTTTTCCAATGATAACACCCACTCTCATGTTTGGGATCTCAATCTTCTTCGTAGTGCCCTGGTAGCTACCGTATGAAACTGGTATATTCGACGAAACCGAGCCTGAAAGAGGCTTGCCATCTGCAAAGCATAAAAATGAGGAGCGGAACCTAATTTTCAGATCCTAGATAATCCAAACGGAAAACACAACATACAGTGCAAAATCAGGATTTTCTAGCTACGAGAGCATAAATGAAGCTAAGAGAACTTAAACAAAAAAAAAGAAGGTAAGCAAACAACAGATTTATCACGTAGGAGCAGTCGAATCTAGGTAAGAAAAAGCGATACGGAAGATCCAGAAAACAAGTTACGCACCAGAAGGACCGGAGCTAAACCCTCGGTCGCTGGAATCATAGGAAGCGCCGTTGTCGACGCGAGGACGCTTGGCATCGGCGCTATTGAGGAGACGAGCCGCGATCTCCTGAGCCTTCTGCTTAGCCATCTGGATTTCATCCATCGGAGGCGGAACGCTGTTGTAGGAAGGCGGCGGAGGAGCAGCAGCAGCGACGGCTAGATCCGGCGATGCAGACGGGATAGGGCCGGAGGAGAAGCCGGTGGGTCTGCGGATTCCGGCCGGCGGAGCAGGAGTGGTCTGCTCCTCGTGCTTGCGCTTGTGGCTGATGGGGGCGTCGACGATGCCCGAAGAGTAGTGCGATTCGTCCGCCATGGGGAAGAGAGAGATTCGGTGATGAATGAGAAAAAAAACCCTAGAGGCGGAGATAAGGAAGAGAGAATCTCGGCCTTTTATATACGAGGAGAGCACCTGGCTTTTTTTTTTACTACGGAGTTTTTTTGGCAAGTCAACCAAAGAAGAAATTTTTTTTTTTTAAACAATTCATTTAAATTCCACAAAATAAAGATTATTATGGAGGGAGTTGAAAAAATATGTCAAAACAAAAATTTAATTTATGAAATATCTTGAAAAAGTTGATTTTGTAAGTTATATTTATTTTTTAAAATATTGTAATCACTAAAATTTAAATATAACTTGTTCCAAAAATCCAAAATAGCATAGCAACTAGGGGTGGGCGAACGGTCGGTTACGGGTTAATCGGTTACGGTTATTTCGGGTTCGGTTATTTCGGATTATTAAAATTCATAACCAAACGGTTAATTAATTTTATTCGGTTCGGTTCGGTTCGGTTTCGGTTCGGTTCGGCTCGGTTTTGTCTATTTAAAACTATAACCAAACTATAACCAAATAAAGATTCGGTTCGGTTCGGTTATAATATTTAAAAAATCAATTTATTTATAATTAAAAATATTCAAATAAAATATAATATAAAATATTATCATAATTATTTTAACATATAAAATAATAATATCTAAATTTATATTTTGATATAAAACTATTAAATAAATAAAGATCGACTTTAAAAACAATAATAACAATAATAAAATATGTTTAAAATATAATAAAACAATGATTAAATCAAGAATATAAACAATCATATATGTATATAAATATATATAAATGAAGATATATAAACGGTTCGGTTCGGTTCGGTTCGGATTCGGTTAACTCGGTTTATAAAAAATTATAACCAAATGGTTAATATTTTTTAATCGATTCGGTTCGGTTTCGGTTATTTCGGGTTTTAAAAAATCTTAACCAAACGGTTATTTAATTTTATTCGGTTCGGTTCGGTTCGGTTCGAGTATATATCGGTCGGTTCGGTTAATAACCGAAATACCCGAACCGAATGCCCACCCCTAATAGCAAGTGTTGTTCAATAGATTTATAATAATCGGAGTCGCCTGACCGGAGCTCTACATTCGCCACAATGTTCGCAACTTTCTCTTGTCCGAAATCCAGATAGCAGGGTGGTCGAAAAAAACTCAAACTCACCACCACCCATGGCAGTCTCCATCGTTCCACTTAGAGATATCACTACAAAAAAATGATCATTTCCAATGGGTAAATCTGTTGGAAATGGCCAAATTTCCGTAACGTTTCCAACGGATTTCCAACGGATTTATCCGTTGAAATTTCATCGTTAGAAATCGGTGTCCGTTGGAAAACCGTTGGAATTTTCAACGGAATTTCAACGAATTTTTCCGTTGAAATTTTCCAACGGATTTCCAACGGATTTCTAACCGCAATCTCGGTTGAAAATTTTCAACGAAATTTCCAACCGCAATCCGTTGGAATTTTCCAACGGAATTTCCAACCGCATTCCGTTGAAATTTTCCAACGAAAAATTCGAAACATATTCCCGACCTGACCCGACCTTGACTCGACCCGACACCAACACCGACCTGACACAACCAGACCACGATCCTGAAACTCACTTCCCAGTAGGTCACCCATCCTTCCACTGTTCCAACTCAATCCTCCTTAACCCTGGAGTTCCAAGTAGAACTCATCCAACTCCTCCAAGTTAAACTTCTGATATCATATAACATTAATATATATACATATATAAATATTTATACATATTTACATAAAATACATATATATATATATATATATATATATTTGTTATATATATGTATATGGTTAATATATATATATATATACTTATTCGTATACATATATGTGTATATATACACATCATATTTGTATATATAAAAATATATAAACACAAAATATATATATTTATACATATATAGATATATAAATATATAAAATATTTGTTTATACGTATATATACACCTCCTTAATAAACATATATATATACGCATATATGTATATATATATTCGAATTCATATAAATATATATATTTTTGTTATGTATATGTATATGGTTAATATATATATGTTTATTCGTATACATATATGTGTATATATATACATCATATTTGTATATATATATATATATATATATATATATTTCAATTAATTTTTCAATTAAAATCCAAATTTCCAACCGGCATCCGTTGGAATTCTGTTAGATTTTTTTAAAAAAAATTTTCAAAAAAATTTCCAACTGGCATCCGTTGGAATTTTTTTTTTTAATTTTCAAAAAAATTTCCAACCGGTATCCGTTAGAATTCGATTGGAATTTTTTTAAAAAAATTTTCCAAAAAAATTCCAACCGGCATCGTTGGAATTTTTTTTTTTAAATTTCCAAAACAAATTCCAACCGGCATCCGTTGGAATTCCGTTGGAATTGTTTTCTAACAAACATCCGTTGGAATTCTGTTAAAAATTTGCAACCGATTTTTCCAACGTTAATCTGTTTAAAAGTTCCAATGGATATCCGTTGGAAATTTTCAACCCAATTTTTCAATTGAATACGTTGAAAATTCTGTTTAAAAATTTTCAACGGGTATTTCCAACGGATATCCGTTGGAAATTCTCAACGGAATTTTAATGGAAATCGTCGTTGCAACGCCGTTGAAAACCGTTGGAAATTCGTTGGAAATTTTCCAACGGACAAATCCGTTGGAAAATCCGTTGGAATTCGAGGATTTTTTTGTAGTGTATCAAAAATGGATCGGGTTATACGGATCGACCCAATCCGACCCACTTATAAACCCAAATAGATTAGTCTATTTAGCTAATATTTTTAAAATGGGTTAAATGGTCAACCCATTAACTCCATTATATATTTAGTTAAAATTAAACTCATTTTGTAACTAATTAAAATTGTTATATTTAGATATATAAAAATTAACATATATAGATATTTATATATACGTATATATATATGAATTAAATCAAAATATTTGGTATCGTTTTCGAATCAAATCGTACTGAAAAATTCGGTTTTATTTCCGAATCGAATCGTATCGAAAAACTCGATACCGTTCCAAATCGAATCATACCGAAAAAATTGGTTTGGTTTCCGAATCAAATCGTATCGAAAAACTCGGTGTCGTTTCCGAATTGAATCGTATAAAAAACTCGATACCGTTCCGAATCGAATCGTATCGAAAAACTCGATAATGTTTTCGCATCAAATCGTGTCGAAAAATTCGAATCGTATAAAAAATTTGATATCGTTCTGAATCTTCATTCTTTCAGCCATGCTTCTAAGAAGCTCGTCGACATACTCTTTTAAAAGCATTTCAATCTTCCAAACTGTCATGAAATACAAGTCAGAAGTCGGATACTTTGAACCAGACATCATCGTTGTAATATCATCAAACGGCTTCAAGAAGTCATGTATTTTTTCTCCCCTGACCCACTCTTCAGTTGTTGGACAGAACTTATAATTTCTATCAAGGCTACCAAAAGCGTATCGGTGATTGAGAGCACTTACAAGCATCATATGAGTAGAATTCCAACGTGTAGCCACATCCATGCACAAAGAAGCTTTAACATTCCATTAACTTGTTCCACACATTCATCAAATGCTTTCATCCTTGCCTCTGATACTCTAACATATTTCACACTTTCTCTAATATTTTCTAGAGCATCACCAATCACCTTCAAACCTTCTTGTACTATAATATTCAAGATATGTGCCCTACATCTAATATGGAAGAATTCACCTTTGCACAATAAACTGTTTTGCAAAGAAAGTTGATGTTTCAAGATGTCTTGCGTACTATCATTGGTCGAAGCATTATCCCGCGTGAGAGAAAAGATCTTTTTCTCTATTCCCCAATCTTTCAAGCAACCAAAAATCTTCTTAGATATTTCCATTCATGTGTGCGGAGAGGCCAATGTACAAAACGATAGTATCTTGCTCATCAACTTCCAATTCTCATCAACGTAATATGTAGTCATACAAATATACCCCTCATATATGATAGACGTCCAAAGATCAGACGTTAAGCATATCCTACTACGAACATTATCCAATTGAAGCTTCAACTTGACTTTGTCATCCTCATAAAACTTCATAACATCGCTAGAAACAGTGTTTCTGCATATTATTTTGATATCTGGATTTGCATACCATAACGCCTCATACTCAACAAAAGTAAACGGAAACTCATGGCATATGATCAACTTAGCAAGCTTTTCCCTCTAAACTTTCTGATCTATCTTCTTTGTCCTTAACTTCCCCATGTAGTCAATCAACATATTAGCCACATTTCCAAACTTGGGCTTTTTCATGCACTACTTAAGATGTCGTAGTAAATGTGATGTCTCGAGAGATGAAGAAGCCGCATAATTATTACCACAATAGTTGCAAGTAACATTTTCATTATCAATTCGAGTCATATGATTCCAAATAGTGGAAGTCTTTTTCCGTTTTCTACCACTTACTTGAGTTTCGGTTTCTCCAGGTTGAGATAATCCAGCATCGATGTCATACTCCAATTCTTGATGTTCATACTCAATTGCGTCAGCATCCATTGCAATTAAAAATTTTAAACCTGATAAAAAATCATCACATATGAATAATATATATATATATATATATATATATATATATATTTCAACGAACAAGATACATAAATTTACAAAAAATAAATAATAAGCATAATATAAAAAGATATTATATGATGTTATTAATTTTAGAAAATCCAAGAGAAACTGAATAATCTAAAAGTAAAAGCTCTTAAAAATATCTAAACTAGATTACATCATAAAACATCGAAACAAAATGGTCAATCATTGATAACTAAAGAAGAATTGAATTATGATAAATATAGAATATTATCATTTACCATATAAAACACATGTCTCTTTTGCTCAATATATAAATATCACATGACGTATATATTTGATTAATGAGTGGCAGACATATGGTTAGGTAAACAAACATACATGATATGACATATATATTTGATTTGATATTTGTAAAAATAAAAAACTTACGTG